TCTTTGACGCCAAAGGATTCCACTACCTGCCGACGCTGCAAGGGACGAAAAACATAAGTCACGATGAAATCTGACTAAAACAGGAAAAAACAGATGAATTGATAACTCATCTCAGCGTCGTGGGGCGATAGATGTGTTTGGGGGATGAACCCCGACCCTTGCTTTGCCTCGTCGGAACGAAGCCATTTTGAGCCCACCCCTAGCTCATGGGTAGAGGAGCGTGCCCCTGGCAACTCCTGGGGCACATTGGCAGAACGCCCTGCTCCCCTTGTCTCTTGGGGCACGATGGCGGAGCCTTCCACCTCCGCTGGCACCTCAGGCGCGACGGTAGAGCCGCCCGCCTCTGTTGGTTCCTAGGGTAGGCCAACGGTACGTCCTGCCTTTGTCGGTTCCTAGGGGGCGTCATCGAAATGGCCCGCCTCCACCGGCTCCACAGATGTACCCTCCCCTCCATGGAATGGGAAGGGTCCCGACGCCTGCAATGATGAACCAATGCCTATCAGCGCATCCTCGTTCTCCTGGTTGTCCCACTCGATAGGGTCGGCTACAATTTCTTCTTCCTCCATCACCTTGTCATCATCACCATCGTCATCATCATCAACGTTGTCAGTGTCCTCCCCTCGTTCTTGCACCTATAACTTCCACTGCTTCTTCCTCTTCTTGTCCTCCTTTGCCTTCCTCAGCCGCTTGCCCTCGACGCGATTCACCACCCTCATGGCCGAATCCCTCGGCAGCAGCGCCGAATGATCTGTGAGGATGAGGTCCCTTGGCTGGCCCCGCCCCTCTCAAAGTTAGTCTCATAGGGTTGGGAAATCAATTGAAGAGAAGGCAAGAGAAAGGGAAACTTATGAAGACAACGTAGCCTGGCTTCGGCCACATCGGAGGATACCCCAACACCGGGTAGACAAAGTCGAGGGCGGCACCCGCGTCGTCCCTTAAAGGCTCCATCGCCTCCTTAATGCATTGCGTGATCTCAGAGTTGGGGAGCGTTCCCTCGGTGAGCGTCGTTCCATCAAACGATGCCTCGGGCGCCATTGCGTATAGCTAGAGCGTGCACGTCATCAACGGCACCACCCTCCTCGAGTGGTAAGCCCCGATGACGCCTGACCCTTTTTGGCAGTTCTTGTTCAGGATGTGGATGGCGATGATGTGGTCTTGGATCTTCTTCTTGTCCTTCTCTGGGATGCCCCACTTCCTCCACTGCTCCGGGGCCTCTTCAATCAGGCGCCCGGTGAACCCCGATAGAGGGGCGGCGGCATCATTCTTGAGGTAGAACCACTACAAGTGCCACCCCTTGTTAGACATTGAGAGCCACATGGATGGGTACTCGCCGACTTGATTGTTCTGAAGTTGGATGCCGGCGCACCCCATCGACATGTGTAGCTCATGCCTGCCGCCCTTCTCCCTCTTCTTCTAGAGGTTGACGGTGAAGAAATACCTCCACAAGTTGAAGTGGGGGCTGATCCCCAAGAATCCTTCGCACAGCGCGATGAACGCCGCCATGTGCAGGATCCCGCTGGGATTGAGATGCTGCAGCTCAATCTTGTAGAAGTGCAGCAGCCCCCAGAGAAATTTGTGGGCGAGGGTCGCGAGGCCACGTTCGTGGAAGTGGGCGAACGACACCACGTAGCCGTCGGGCGACGACGGTGAATCCTCATTGCCGCACAGCAACCACTCCTCGATCGAGGTCCGCACGTGGAGAAGATCGCGATGGACGAGGCCCTCCATGCACTGGAAGGTGATGTCAGAATGGCACCACGGATCCATTGGAGGTGCGGGCGGATGGATGCGAGCTCAACGTCGGCGGAGATGTGGAGGCAGGAAACCTAAGCATTGGCGGCGGCGTGGCTACGGAGGTAAGGATGCAGGCGTACGTATGAAACACGGAGGGCTAACCCTTTGGTTTTATAGGAGCGACGGGTGTGAGGAAACCAACCGCCCGCCTAGATCTCAGCACCTGCCATGACCTGTCACCACGTCTCGTCGCGGGGTGTGCGCACGCAACCTATGGTCGTCCCCTTGAAAACCGCACCGGACATTTTGCCTACCCGAACGGGCCACGACCCATCACAGGTAAGAGGGATACAGAGCTAAAAATGCTCCTACGGCCCGTCTAGGTTGGCCCACCGACGGGTTCGAAGGTTGGCCCATCGACGGGTTCGACAACCGCTCCGGGCACCTTTAGAATGAGGGGTGGAAAGGGATGGGCCCGCTAGCGCCCAGTACCTAGGCGCACAGGTGTCGTGGGCATCCCGACCCACGTTCGAGTCTCGGCCGGATACGATCCATGGTTTTTCCTTGAAGAAAGGCAGATAACCCTCGGGACCGGTCGAACGGACCCGAGAACTATATGGATTGACTACTGAGAATCTGGAGTCGGTCACCAGCTGACCCAAGCCGGACCCCCACGAACGGGATGCTGGGGCCCCACTCGGACTAGCCCATTAACAGCTCCCCAAGCACCATGATTCTTCCATAGAGGAAAATCATGGCACGGCTCAGCCCCTCCGTTTTTATTGGAAAAAATGCTTGAGGGAAGACGATCACAAAGATGAGCCGGCCCTGGACTAGACCCCTGCTACAGGCGGGGGCTTGAGGAAAGTTGGACTCGTAAGGAGACCGAACACACGGTCGTAGAACGACAGACCCCTGTAGGGGTCGGAATCAGGAAAGACCTTTTCTGACCCACCAAATCTCACGGCTATACCCCGAGGGGTCCGATCACGACGAAAGGGAATCGTCGTCCCCAGGACACGCCATAGGCGACAAAAGAAGGCCAAGGCCCTTAGAGTCCTCCCGTTTGGAAAAGTCTCTGAAGGAGTATTCTACTCCTCCGTAGGCTTGGGGGCTACTGTCGGGGACCAATTCTAGGGTACCCGAAGAGGAGGAGCTAACGGTCATCAACATTGATTCATCCGAGCAGTCAAGAGCACGACTACAGCTCCAACCGACCCTCAGGTGAGCGGGCTCCGCCTCGCCCGACCTCTGGGGGTGGGTTTCGCCTCGCCCGACCTTTGGGTCGGGGGCTCCACCTCGCTCGACCTCTGGGTTGGGGGCTCCGTCTTGCCCGACCCCTCAGGCACGGCTCCTGACAAAAGCCCGTACCGCCGCCAACCACTACGGGCCAGAAAGTACAACTCAAGGTCAAACTTCTGGCATCGTGCAGTGAGTGGGCACATCTCAACATGACCCATGCCCGCGACATGTCACTTCAGGGAACTCACATCACCAATAGTGACGGACGTGTGGTCACTATGCTGCCTACTCCCTGTACGGCCGTTGACCAGCACGCTGGTTCGCCGCGTCGCCCGCCGGGACAGAATGGGACGTCACAACCTGCTGACAACACCAGGGCGTGGCATCAGCCGCGAATAGGCGCCCAGCGTGGAGCCATCCTTGTCACCATCTGCAGTGTCGACGGGACCCGTATAAAGGAGAAGAAAGACCCGGCGGTCCTGGAAGCCTTCGTCTCCTTGCTCTTCTCCCTCTTTCTCTCTGTGTAACCTGCTCTTCCCCTTCGTCTATAAAAGGGGAAGCAGGACGCCCCAGGAGAGGGGACGGCGGTTCACCACTCTACACGGCTGTAGACATCAAAACACACACCCTAACACGCCTTAGGAGCACACGCACATCAGAGATTTGGGACCTGTCCCTCTCTCGCTCGTTTGTAACCCATACTACAAACTTTCAGTGCTAGTAACACGAGCAGCAGCGACGAACTAGACGTAGCGACTTTTTGCCTGAACCAGTATAAACCTCGTGTCCTCTAAGCACACTATCCAAGTCAGACACGCAATACTAGAAATTTACTAGTTGGTAACTCGAAACACCGACTTTTAGTCTCTCAAATATTTGTTTTAAATTAATGTATTTTGAGATTCATTTTTTTTTGAGTTTTTCAAACAACCTTGGATGAAGACATCCTATACAAAAGTTATAGTGGTCAACAAGATTTAAAACTTTGTAGTTGAAGTTTTTTTATTTGAGTTCATTTAGTAGTCAAAATATTTAAAACAAGATTACAAAATATTTGTAAAAAAGATGGAATCCTATATATACTCACAAGTGATTTTGTGGTGTAGTGAGAAGCAGTCTTAGTTCTAAGTTGTACATCGTGAGTTCGATTAATTTCTAGGTTATCTAGAAACCATTAACGAAAGTGAGCCTCTATTAATCAATTTTTAGAGGCACTAATCAATTTTCAAAGACCGGCATTCGGACCGCCTCTGTAAAGTGATTAACAATGGCTGCCTCTGAAAATGTTTTATGTACTAGTGTCTGCCAAACAATGTTTTTTTTGCAGAAATATATGTGAATTTCGTCGAGTGGTTATCTAAAATGCATCATAGAAACTCCTAAAAAATGCATCATAGACTAGTTTTTCGGAGACGTGTTTCGCGTCACTAAATTGGGTGCCTTCTTGGTGCTGTTTTGGTATAGTGATGAACTAGTTAGAACACCGTGGACTGAAAAAAGTAGGCACTCTCCCTATTCACTTTCGCACCTAATCACTTTATATACATAATTTACCTTAGATAACCATTTTCAGTCACATGATCATTTTCCTTAGAGAATCCCATTACATAGAGAATCAGAGGCAAAATGAGCTCTACCACTTAAAAGTTTCGGAAAATAAAATTAGATTAGATTAGTTAGCTCATCAGATGTAAGTCAGGTTAGCATCTTGGTCATATATATAATCCGGAAGAAGAGAGAGAGAGAGGAGGTCTTGTTACTTGAGACTGTAAAATTAGCAGCCTTTTATTCATCTCATATTATTGTACAATCAAGAAGAAGCGTAACCAATTTCTCTCTTTGCCGGACAGCTGAGCACGTAAAGCCTATATACTCCCATCCGTGTGTATTTCTGGCACATGATCAAACTAGTCGTCATGAAGGGCGAAAACTGAAGGACCTCAACAATTAATAATCAATAGTGTATTTCTGGCAGCAAAGGTACGGTCGTTGAAGAGAAATGAATAAAGTCATCCACGCTTCTATTAGGCGCCGTTCATCAGCGGTTTCTTCATCTCCCAGGCAGTCAGACTTGACACTTTGACGTCCACGCCACCGTTGTTGAAAACGTAGAGGTGAGCCTCCTTTCCAACGGCGATGGACGGGTAGACCCGTGACAGGATGCAGGTCCTGCCTCCCGCGCCGAAGCTCTCCACCACGGACCGATCGATCTGTACGTATATATAGATGCCATGTCGCACAAGGAAACAAACAGCAACAAGATAAATAGATAATACAACAATCAGTCAAGTGATAAGTCGTAATCCAATTGCTTAACAGCAGTAGTCAACAATCGTGACATTTGCTTCGCATGCGTTAGTTTGTGCATACCAAGCTTCTGAGACCAATCTTCCCGCTTGAAATGTCAGTGTCGACGAAGCCCGCGAAGGTCGGCTTGTACAGATCTGGACTAAGAGATGACCTGCCCGACACAAGAAGGGAGAAAACACAAGCCATCTATTTAGTTTTGTGTAGACATTGTAATCTGAAGAAGCATATGTGTCCACATAATAATCATCTTATTAGTGGTAATGTGGGGCCGGCCCGAGCGGGGGCATACATGTACCCCCTCTATATGTGTATCCACATGTGCAATGTGGCTGCTGTGATGCGAGAAGGGGGAAGGATGTAGGTAGGTGGGCTTACTTGGTGGGGTCGGTGCACATGAGCACCTTGGGCTTGCCGTATCCGTCCTTGAAGACTCTGAAGAAGACGGCCGTCTTCTCCCGCAGGTCGGCAGAGGCCAGCACCCACAGGCCGAAGGGCCCCACCCCGCCCTTGACGTCCGCGCCCTTGACGCCGCACAGCTTCTGCGCGTCGGTGTCGTACGCCGGGTCGAAGGGCTCCGCCTTCTCCAAGCTCGAGATCTCGAAGGTCACCTCCACATCAGCCTGCCATCATCACAAGATCGACGATGGGTCAACACATAGGAGAGGAGTACTAGCATCTTTCATCTTCACTCTCCGACGGAAGAACAAAACATTTCAGAAAGTAGTCGTAGATCGGCTTTGTCAGTCAATGTAATCAGTGGTCACACCTACTACGTGGCATCGATTAATAATATGTGAACTGGAAGATTAACTTGTCTTGGAAAATGGCAGGCGTGTGCGTTGGAAGACTCTTCTGCTCATGTCCTGTCTGGTACTGGTTGGTGACTTGTTACGCGACACGTATGTGTGTGTGTGTGTGTCTGTGACAGAATATTGTTCAAACTTGAGATCAGAAACAAGTGTTGCAGGCTTGGTGTAGGTGTGTACGTAAACCAGCAGAGGAGGGAGACCCGTCGCATTCCGGTAGGTGTTTGCAAGTGGCAGAGCAAGACAAGCATCGGAGTGGGCTTGTGTAACCTACGTAGGGGTTATCGCCGACAAGGCATATGTATGAGCCATCGGATCTTGGCTGGACTAGACAGATACTCTGCACGTGGGGCCCTTGACTGCAACGTACAGTGCTACTACTAGTATATACTTCCGACAAGCGACAAGCTGTGAAGCTTGACTACTGAAACAGTGCTACTAGCACCCTTCTTCGCGGTGCGTAGTGTGCGCCCGTGATAAGCAAGCAGCTGCGCGCGCGCGCACATGCATGTTACCCTTGCCGCCGCTAGCTAGCTAGTGGATGTATTCACATGAATGAATGAATGAAAGTTTAATTTCAAAAAACAGTTTATCATCGATCGAAAAGTACTAGGAGTAAAACTAACCAACCTGGTAGGTTGCGAGGCCTGTGACCTCAAAATGCTGGCCGGGCTTGACTACCTTGGCGCCCACACTGACGGGCTTTCCTCTGAGCTTCTCAACCTCCTCGATGGGCCACTGCAGCAGCTGCTTCCCGGTGGGGTCCAGCCAGATCTTCCTTGGGATCGCCTGTCACGAGCACGCACAAGCAGTCAGTCAAACAAGTCGTCCGATCCGATCCGTTGCCAACGATTCAACGCTTTGAAGTTTCTAGCCAAGGAACACGAGTAGACACATGCGTGCGGCTGACAGCAGCTCTCACTGATGGAGTAGCTAGCAGCAGCAAGCAAGCAAGCAGGAAGCAGTAAAGACTAAACACGAGCGACGACGTACATGGATGCCGGCCCAGCCCTTGGCCTTGTCGTCGGGCACGCTGTCCGACTCGTTGGCCCACCCGAGCAGCACCCGCCGCCGCTTCGCCGGGTCGTAGAACGTCTTGGACGCGTAGAAGTTGCCGTAGTCGTATCGCAGCCGGTGGTAGTCACCGTTGGTGTTATCCGGGTAGTACCGATCCTTCCTCTTATCATACGACCCGATGGTGTAGTAGTCATACCGTGTGAGGTCCAGGCTGCTCTTGAGCACGTACTTGGCGCCGGCCTCGGAGGTGTCGAGCCCGTCACGGAGCGCCGGCCCGGACACCGGAAAAAAGTCCGGGCACTCCCACATCCCCGTCAGCGCCGAGTGCAGCGGGTGCTTGGCCTTCCTCCACGTCCTGAAGTCCCGGCTCCGGTACACGAGCGCCATCCGCGGGCGTCCCGCACGCTGCCCACCAGCATCCGCCAGTGCCCGTCCGCGTACCACGCCGTGGTCGGGTCGCGGAACTGCGTCGCGTTGATGCCGCCCACCGGCGCCGCCACCGGGTTGTACGCCGCGGGCTTCTCCCACTCCCGGAGCAGCGGGTCCGACGCGTTCTTCGGGAACGCGACCACCTGCACCTGGTAGTTGATGTCGGGGCGGTTGATCCCCGTGTACAGGATCGCCGGCGTGCCGTCTTTCAGCATCGTCGCCGAGCCCGACCAGCAGCCGTACTGGTCGGACGGGATGCTCGGGTAGATGGCGGGCTCCAGCGCGATCCAGTTGATGAGGTCGCGTGAGACGGAGTGAGCCCACACGATGTTGCCCCATACCGCGCCCTTGGGGTTGTACTGGTAGAACAAGTGATACCATCCCTTGTAGTACATTGGAGCTGCACACACAGTTGCAAAATTCTATGTCAACTAGGAGTAGTATTCCTTTTCTGCACGATTGTCGTTATTTACAGTTGCTCTCTATATGAAGTCAAATTCTCATGTGGAGTCTGCGGGGCAGCAGGGGCATGCACTATTTTTTAATGTTAAAATGTCCTTTGCTACAACTACAAGATAGATCAGCACTTTAAAATGCGCCATTTCATCCTCCCACGTTTAGGAAACAAGTACAGCTGTTCATGATACGTGCAGACATTATATAGATCTACTTAGCAGGCAGCACAACACAGGGATAAAGAAAAAGATAACTGCAACAAATTAAACGGGCTGGGTAAAAGGCGTACCGTTGGGGTCTGCAGCCGATGAGTTCCGCCGTCCCAGCAATCAGAGCCGCCAACAAGAGCAGAGAGACAGAAAACAACACCCATGTTAGAACAAAGTCTCTGCAGCGACCGTATAGTACGTAATCACAAGAGCCATTATCATAGTACTGTACTTAATCAAACACAGAGCATCTGTATTATTGTATTTAACCACCACACGGCTTTGATTAGCTGCAAGTCTCTTCGTCGTTTCCGGCTACTGTCAAAGCTCAATAGCTTGCAGCTTAGACTTTTCTGGGGGACAGGACAAAGAAAAAAACTGCATGCAGCAAGCTCCATGTGAACAACCGAGCCTAGAAAAGACTAATTTGATTTCTCCTATATGGCTGCATTTTCTTGCTGCTGTTCCAAGATACAGGCGTGATTTTTTTTTTCTCGATACATGAGCTCTCCATCAAACAGATCGCCATGCATGAGGGATGACAAGAGGAGCTCAAATTAGTACAACTATTACTGGCATATATGATTCTTCATTCCTACTCCCTGGCATTCTGTATCCATGGTCTGACACGATTTAATCGCTTGTAGTACAGCAAGCAACACGAGCAACGCATGGGTAGCTTAATTGAAAACACAGAGAGAGACATCAGAAGAGCAAGGCGCAAAGGGAGGCCAGGCAGGAGGGGTGATCCTTCCAACTCCAAGAGAAGTAGCTAGCGTACCGTTGATCCAGTTCATTGGTGGCTGGAAATGGTATCCCGTCCTGAGCAGGGGGCTGACAATGGAGGCTGGCACCGACGCCGGTGCCGCCTCGGCCTCCAGGCTCCGGTGGATGACATGGGAGGCACCGGCGAGCTGCAGCGCGAGCAGCAGCACCGCCCATGGCGCGAGGACCCGCTGCCGAGTCCCCATTGCGTTTTGAGGATGCGGCAGCAGGAAGAGGGGGAAATGGGACGGTTTTGGACGATGGATGGTGAGAAGACCAGGCAGGGTCGGGGGGTTTTATAGGAAAAAAACTACACGTTTTAGCGCGTTGTACTGGCTGACTAGTCGAGTATTATAATCCGATGGCAATTAGTGCAGTGAGCTTGGTTTCGTGTTCCAAAACCAGCCACTGAGCGCCGTGTCGAGGTGGGCTCTCCTTTGTTTTGTCATTGAAGAAACAAATTTAATTACTACGACTTGATCCCTCGAGAAGTCTAGACGTACACATAATCCTTGAAAAACTTCAGACGTCAGAAAGCAAATTCTTCATAGTGGTTATCTGTTGGAAAGTATAAAAACATCGTGAAAATGGTAGAGCCGTTTCTTGTAAAAAAAAAAATTAAAAACTCCAAGTTACTGAGATAAGAATTTGGGAAGATGACTTTGATTCGAGAGTGGTTCCACTTTTCAACCGCTCAAGTATATATGTAAGACAATTCCACATATCCCACGGAATGCTTTGGGATAGCCTTTATGCTAGCAGAAATCTTAAAGATTGTTATAATCATATTAACTTTTATTCTTGATCTTTACTTGAGGACGGAACTTGTTGACGGTCAATAATGCTAAACATAAACTATCAAAATAACTTCTAATTATCCTTAAAATCAATCAATAACATAGGAGTTATGATTTATACTAAGTATTTCCATGAGTTTTGATGATTTTATAATTACAGATTGCGTTTCGAGGATGATGGAATAGGGTAAGGGACGGTTTTGGATGGGGAAATGGTGTGAAGACCAGGCATCGGGTCGGAGGTTTTTATAGGGAAAAACTACACGTTTTAGCGCTTTCTATACTTCCACTGGCTGACTAGTCGAGTATTATTATATATTTATAAATATAAATCTCCATCCGGTCCAATGGCAATTGGTGCAGTGAGCTTGATTTCGTGTTCCAAAACACGCGACTGGCCCACTGATGAGCGCCGTGTGGAGGTGGGCCCTTTTGTTTGTCATTGAAGAAACAAATTTAACTACTACTAGTACTACGACTTTGAACCCTCGAGAAGTCCTAGACACGTCATCCTTGAACGACTAGGCCAGAAAGCAAATTCGTCAGAGTAGTGGTTATCTGTTGGAAGTATAAAAACATCATGTGAAAATGATAGAGCAGTTTCGTATCTTTATATTACTCTACAGGGATGTACATGCATGGCAATTGCCGTGCAGAGAGTCGAAAAGGCAGAAAAAGAACAAAGATGAGAAATGTGACCAAGCACATACGTACGTTTGCGAAAAATCAATCTTATCATTATTATTTAGAGGTCATGTTAATCCTCATGAGATGTGCTAAAAAATTGAACTCAAGAAATTTCATAATATTCGGAAACATCTACACTTAATTTGGTAAGCTCTAATTATCATCGTCAATAATAAATAATTGATTTACAATCTTTTATTAAAAATCACCCACCTCTGCCCTTAGAAAAAATACAGAGAGTAAGGGACGTACCCAGTGCATAGAGCTCCCGCTCTGTGCGGTGTCTGGGAAATAGTGTTAGTGGCAAGACTTACCTTCGCCTGTGCAATGCGAGGAGACCGCGACTCGAACCCGGGACCTTCCGGGCACAGACGGTAAGACTCTACCGCTTACACCAGGCCCGCCCTTCTAACAAAGAGTAATCCTCTAAATTCATTATAATTTTATACTACCCCCAAACTTATACACAAGTTACAACATCTACATTTATGAAAGATAATTTAAAATAACAGCGAAGTTTGTATCTCAATTGCCAACATATGCTATTATGTGTGTCACAACTTGGGTGAAAGAGCTACACAAAACGAGCTAGGGAACACATATATGTAGGCTGCGAAGGGGATGCTAGCCACGAAAAAAGTCTACAGATGCAGGCATCATCGGATGATCCTCCGGGTGCTAATTAACATCATCGGATGTCCTCACTCACGTCTCTCCTTCGCCGGTTCGTCCGACCCGTGGCCCTACCCTGCAGACTGTTCCGTCACTGGCGCACTTGCCTCACGTGCGCCACACCACCATGTGCCTCACTCGCCGTAGCAGTCTCCTTCCCATGTAAACTCCACCGGTTCCGCTAGATTCAACCGCGATGTTGCCAGATCTGATGAAGGGGCGCAGGATCTAAGCAGCCGTTGACGCACCACGGCCACCCGCAACCTCAGCAGAAGAGGATGGGTACCGTTGCAGCGATCCTTGCGGATGCGCTGGCTTCTGGTAGCCCATTCCAGCGCAATGATGAGAGCAAGGTTCGGGAAGGACGTGGTTCCTAGCGGTGGGTTAGAGAAGTCGCCGCACGAGTCACCCTAGACGAGAAAGTTTAAAATAATAAATATAAACAGAAAGTCAGTGTCGGTCATAGGATTTTAAGGGCCCTCTGCCATCTCGTGCATAACGGCCCCTCTTGACCATGTATAAAATCTTATAATATATAGACGCTAATTTTACTTGTAAAAGCGAAAGTAAATTCAATAACATATTTTTAATTTAATATGTACGATAATTATTATCGAGGAACAATGTAGATTAAACAATATATTTGTAGATGTATGATAATTATCGAGGAGCAATGTAGATTAAAAAAATAATATATTCGTTTTTTCTTTTCTCACCCATGATAAATGTTTCTTAGGTAACATTCTAAAATTATAACACCTAAATTAGAAGAAAAATATGACTATATGGATACAAAGTAATAGAAGTGCGGAATACTATACAAATAATTAATTTGGATTAAAAATAAAAAGGAAAAAAAATACCTTGGGCCTAAACAACTGATCGGTGATCGCAATTCATAAGAAGCCAAGAATCAAGATGTCATCGTCGTGGAGCCCCTGCTTTGGTCGTCGTCGTCCTCGTGTGCCGTGTCCGTGTCTCCAATAGTCTAGGTTTTCAAGGCGGGCGGCTCGTCGACTCCGCGCATGTGTAAGGCGCGACGTCGAGAACTTACGATCGAGAGTGTCTTTGTGTGCGGCGTGACTCCTTGCCTCCTCTCTACTCGAGGGTGTGGGAAAGAAAATTAGGAAAGAAATATCGATGTTGTCTTTTTTGGGTCGCCTAGCCAGTTCTATATCTCTCTTCAAATTAGTTTGCTAATACCTAATGGACTATAGGACCTGTGGGTTTGTATACCTAGGCTTGAACCCCTTCTCTATTTGGGCCCTCGGCCATCGCACCTCGTGCCCTACCCCTAGGGCCGGCACCGCAGAAAGTTTGAACATAATTGATTTTAAAATAAAATATAGACAGAAATTCTGTAACAACAAATTATAAGACATGCTAGAGCACAGATCGTCTAGTACTTCCCCGTTCTTTTTTACATGCCACGTTAGGTTTGCCTTAAGTCACACATTATTATATTTGACCATTCGTTTTTAAAAATTCTTATAGTTTACGATCTACGAATCTATAAATTCTATAGTATGAAAGTATTTTTCATAATCAATCTAAAAACATAAATCTTATATCGAGAATCTATATGGTTTTTTGGAAATCAATAGTCAAAGATATAAGGGTATTTTTGGTTTGAGAAATGTGGTGGTTCATCATCTTCTCACTCCTCACTTTTTATATTTGGTTTGTGAAATGGAATAAGTCGATCCAATCACCACATCATTTCTCACAAACTAATAATTAGTATACGTATGAGGAATGAGTTGGTTCTACCAAAATTTATAGGATGAACTCACGATGCATCACCTCATGATGCATGGGTGACTCCACAAACCAAATACACCCTAAATGTTTGACTACGGACAAACTTAATACGACATGTAATTAAAAACGGAGGGAATAATAATTATAATAGTTGAAAAAGGACACCGTAGAGCATCAACTCAATATCTCATAAGCTGTACCTATATATACTCGACGCCGCAAAATAGCAAAGCAACGTGCTTCGGAGTCTGGACATGCTGATAGCCCGGGTGCTATGTCTGCGTCAACCTATCAACAGAGTCTATAGACTTACATGTCCAAGACATCCATTTTGCTCCGGTTGAATTTTCAGATCCAGGAGCACGCTGCATACTAATAATTAACTGAACCAGGGCGGCTGCCGACATGTCATATCTCACAAAGCAACGACGAACCTCTGAAGAAATGTAGGAGTATACGTAGTGCATCAGCGCTGAAATTTGTTTGTTTTTGTGCCATGACTCATGAGATGTTGTGGATCAGCAACAACCGGATAGCTGGCCTGAAATATGTGGCTCGCGTGCTGGCAAAACTGGTAAGGCGGCGTCCCACATGGGACATGGCCACCTGCTGTAGATAGCTTCTGCCTATTCTACAGTATTTGGAGTCCAGTCCTGTGATGTCTCATCTGGTGCGCGCGCCTCGTCCCGCGTAATGAACGGTGATGAGCACTGGCCACCGGCCACCGGCCAGGAGCTTAGCCGTGGACCTGGCGGCTAAGGCACCCCAAAACCCGATGCATCGTTTAATTTTATTGCCAGGAGCTTAGCCGTGGACCTGGCGGCTAAGGCACCCCAAAACCCGATGCATCGTTTAATTTTATTTTACCGTTGACAAGAGTATGATATCATATTATCATCTACTGTATAGTGCTTTGTATAGTTAATTGCATTGACGAGTGAAAGAAAATTGTTATATTACTGTTTCAAAGCTTAGCTATAGCATCTAAGGTGTAGTTTGGTTCGAGACAGGCAACGGATTGTGATGCACTAGATTCGACCCTGAACGCTGGTTTCAGTTTCATCTGGATAAAACCTTTATCCTCATTCTTTTTAAATCTGCTAGTCGTATATTGTCATTTTTTTCCTACGTGGCACCTCGTTTATTTAACGAAATGAAATGGAAATCCGCGTTAGGACTGACCGAGACTAGATTACTTCTACTTATAGTGCATTTTGTGGTGCACTACCGCAGACAGGGTTAGTAGGGGCGATTGAAGGAGATTTGTAGGGGTGGAACCGCCCCTATCA